TGTACACAAAGACAACAATTGTCTATCAATTGTTGTCTTTGATTCAACTTTGACAAGAATCACAAATGATTCTTCTCAAAGTTGCTCAGTGAACAACAAACACTTGTTATTGTTTATAATTCAAGTGAATGTTGTACACAAAGACAACAATTGTCTATCAATTGTTGTCTTTGATTCAACTTTGACAAGAATCACAAATGATTCTTCTCAAAGTTGCTCAGTGAACAACAAACACTTGTTATTGTTTATAATTCAAGTGAATGTTGTACACAAAGACAACAATTGTCTATCAATTGTTGTCTTTGATTCAACTTTGACAAGAATCACAAATGATTCTTCTCAAAGTTGCTCAGTGAACAACAAACACTTGTTATTGTTTATAATTCAAGTGAATGTTGTACACAAAGACAACAATTGTCTATCAATTGTTGTCTTTGATTCAACTTTGACAAGAATCACAAATGATTCTTCTCAAAGTTGCTCAGTGAACAACAAACACTTGTTATTGTTTATAATTCAAGTGAATGTTGTACACAAAGACAACAATTGTCTATCAATTGTTGTCTTTGATTCAACTTTGACAAGAATCACAAATGATTCTTCTCAAAGTTGCTCAGTGAACAACAAACACTTGTTATTGTTTATAATTCAAGTGAATGTTGTACACAAAGACAACAATTGTCTATCAATTGTTGTCTTTGATTCAACTTTGACAAGAATCACAAATGATTCTTCTCAAAGTTGCTCAGTGAACAACAAACACTTGTTATTGTTTATAATTCAAGTGAATGTTGTACACAAAGACAACAATTGTCTATCAATTGTTGTCTTTGATTCAACTTTGACAAGAATCACAAATGATTCTTCTCAAAGTTGCTCAGTGAACAACAAACACTTGTTATTGTTTATAATTCAAGTGAATGTTGTACACAAAGACAACAATTGTCTATCAATTGTTGTCTTTGATTCAACTTTGACAAGAATCACAAATGATTCTTCTCAAAGTTGCTCAGTGAACAACAAACACTTGTTATTGTTTATAATTCAAGTGAATGTTGTACACAAAGACAACAATTGTCTATCAATTGTTGTCTTTGATTCAACTTTGACAAGAATCACAAATGATTCTTCTCAAAGTTGCTCAGTGAACAACAAACACTTGTTATTGTTTATAATTCAAGTGAATGTTGTACACAAAGACAACAATTGTCTATCAATTGTTGTCTTTGATTCAACTTTGACAAGAATCACAAATGATTCTTCTCAAAGTTGCTCAGTGAACAACAAACACTTGTTATTGTTTATAATTCAAGTGAATGTTGTACACAAAGACAACAATTGTCTATCAATTGTTGTCTTTGATTCAACTTTGACAAGAATCACAAATGATTCTTCTCAAAGTTGCTCAGTGAACAACAAACACTTGTTATTGTTTATAATTCAAGTGAATGTTGTACACAAAGACAACAATTGTCTATCAATTGTTGTCTTTGATTCAACTTTGACAAGAATCACAAATGATTCTTCTCAAAGTTGCTCAGTGAACAACAAACACTTGTTATTGTTTATAATTCAAGTGAATGTTGTACACAAAGACAACAATTGTCTATCAATTGTTGTCTTTGATTCAACTTTGACAAGAATCACAAATGATTCTTCTCAAAGTTGCTCAGTGAACAACAAACACTTGTTATTGTTTATAATTCAAGTGAATGTTGTACACAAAGACAACAATTGTCTATCAATTGTTGTCTTTGATTCAACTTTGACAAGAATCACAAATGATTCTTCTCAAAGTTGCTCAGTGAACAACAAACACTTGTTATTGTTTATAATTCAAGTGAATGTTGTACACAAAGACAACAATTGTCTATCAATTGTTGTCTTTGATTCAACTTTGACAAGAATCACAAATGATTCTTCTCAAAGTTGCTCAGTGAACAACAAACACTTGTTATTGTTTATAATTCAAGTGAATGTTGTACACAAAGACAACAATTGTCTATCAATTGTTGTCTTTGATTCAACTTTGACAAGAATCACAAATGATTCTTCTCAAAGTTGCTCAGTGAACAACAAACACTTGTTATTGTTTATAATTCAAGTGAATGTTGTACACAAAGACAACAATTGTCTATCAATTGTTGTCTTTGATTCAACTTTGACAAGAATCACAAATGATTCTTCTCAAAGTTGCTCAGTGAACAACAAACACGTATATAACCATAAATAAAACATGTTTACTTTACAAATACAATTATTTACAAATTTTAATTATATCTTTTAATTTATATTTATTTACGTTCACATTTCTTTTATATCCTTTGTATTAATATAAAAATTCCGTTGATCTTCACTCTTTTTCACATATTTTTTCAATAAAATACCCAATTTTTGTATTTATTCTGATTAATATTTTTCACTGTTAATTTTATTGATATCCCAAACTATTTCAACATTTAGTTTTTTAAAAACTCTATTTTTTGTTCTCTCTCTCAATTTTCAAAAGTCATTAATTTTGCATTACTTTATTTAAAATATAATTAACATTGGATAAAAACATTTATTATAATGCCATTTTGGATCAATCTTATGATATTTCAAATCTTTTAAAATACACTCATTCATAACAAATAGTTGCCCTAGACATGTGCGTAACCTCTGTGTACGATATTCCAACACCTTACGACCTGTATGCAAGTTTTTAATTATTGAATAAAAAAACAACAACATACCGTACTTCGAGTATAAAACATGTATACCCTAATAAAAACAAAAATTAGGACATATTTGATTTATGATTTCTTTTCACAAATCGAAATTTTGATCTCTCAATTTTAAACATTTTTCAAAAAAAACTTATAAATATATTTCTTATTGTATAATATTTAAAAGTAAATCATCATGGATGAATATTACTAGTACTTCAGAATTATTTATTTTTTCGATCTAAATATAGAAATAATATCTACTCTATATAAAAATAACAATTATTTAATTTTATTGAAATTTTTATTATTTGATTAATATATTTTATGTGATATCTTAAATAGCAATAAAAACTACACCACATAGTTATTCTAGGGTACCTTCATCTACTTCTAGAATTATAGGCTCTGGATTCGAATCTATGGTGCGCTATTGATAAAGTAAATTTCTCCATAGGCCCCCAAAAAATTGACAACCCAGGAATTATAGGGTAGATGAATAAGGAATGAAACCCAGTATAATGTGCATCATTATATTAAACACTATATGTAAGGCTAATGATTCTATTAACACTTATGGAGATCTATAGTATTTGAGCAGATAAATTTGATAATTTCCAAAACTCTTATATTTCAAAATTAAAGTGTGCGAATGCATTTAAATGAGAGCAAAAAGAGATTGATGCTGTTAAAACTAGGTGTTAATTTGCAATTATTTCGCATCACAAGAACTACCCAGTAAATTCGGCTATCTTTCTTTGCAATTATTCTCCATTATACATATAATATAATGGTTAGGGTTTGAAGAAAAGTTACTAGAGAATTATTGACTTTTGAAATAATGCAGAATTTTACTTGAAGAAATCATTAATTTATGAGTTCCAAATTGCTAAGCATGACGAAGGATCATTAAATTTGCTACAATTAAATACACTTATTGCAGAATTAAGATTTTTGAAATTAAAAGTTTGAAATATTGCCTTTTTGAATAAAAATTTAAATTTTATTATATAATCATGATAATATCTTATAGAAATTAAAAGAAAATATTTTAAACCATTCAAATATTTTGAATGTCTTATCAATTTAAAATATTAAAAGATAGCTTGATTTTATCATCATTAGTTGTTATCAAAGTTTTCTTCTTTTGATGAACAACAGTAAATGATTTGTTAATTACTCGTCTTCCTTTTTCGCAGCAAAATCGAAAGTTATGATGATAATCTTGCACTCAATTTTGAAACTCTCTGATTTACAAGTAAGCATTCCTTTGGAAAAGCAGTCCTATTCTGTTTTCAAGATATTTTAAAGCCTCCATTTCATACAATGCGCAGATCTATTCGAAATTGCAAGAACTCTCAAGAAAAATGCAGCAGCAAAGAAGATTCCATAGTTTCTAGCATCAAAAATTTACAACCTTAATACAACAGTTAAAGAGAAGCTCGAAAAAAAATATTTAACCATAAAGCTGGAAACCATTCGATATCTACTATTGGATCTAATAAAAAGTTAATTATAACATATTTAACATGCTATTTGTTGACTTTGTTCCATTATATTACCATATATATCTTTTTGAAATCTAAAATATTTTTACGATTTTAACCATGTGTTGTTGAAACCATATATCAATCTTAGCTAAAGTATAGTTTATGAGTCTGTCACCATCTAACGTATGAATTTTCAAAAATGTCAAATATGTTCATTTTTTCTGTAGATTCAGCCATAATTTCACGTTGTTATACTATTCAACTATTATTTAATATTTTTATCGATTTAAATATATGATGAGATGCTTAGTTCTCCTGGAAATCGATTTTTAATCGCAATTTTAACTTTCCAAAAAAATTCAAAAATAAAAATCCCTCTCAATTTTCTAGGTTTTATAACTCGCCAAATCTCTAGCCAAATTTTTTTGGCCCGTATAAATATTGTTAGGCACTATATAGGGATGCTATTTATCCTATTTTCATCCCATTTTACTGTTATCGCCTAGTGAATGTACCTTTGTCGACTCGTTATAGTCATTCCATATAAGAGCGGCTTTATTCTAGGCGAATTTATAAAGATGGCATTACAGAAGCAAGAATGACCCAAAGAATTTAATGTGATCTTCCACAGTTTCAAAATCTTCTGACAAAAATAATCGATTTATATTCTTTATTGCGAATTCCTGTTTAAAAAGTAATATCTAACACAGAAATAATGAAAAGGAAACGACTTATGTTTTTGAATTGAAAGAAATTGAAATAAAATGTAAAACAAAAATACTTTACATTTATCAATTATTGCATGGCTAAATTCCTCAATTATTCAGTTGCAATCAACAAGATACTTACAGTGAAAGACAAGAACATTGATACAATGACCGGTATGATTAGTACTTTTAAATCTTTTCTAGAAAAATTGGATAAAGGAGATTCTAAAATTGAGAGCGAAAAGAAATCGTTACTAAGCATTTTGGACAGGTATGATATTACACCATCAATGACAAAAGGTATGAAACAGTTTGCTCTGAGTGATTTTACACCAACAGTCGAAGCACATAAAATCTGCCAATTTTTCAAGAAGTCATTCATACCAGGATTGGAGAGTATTGCTATCAACTACGAAAAATCATTCAATAAGCTATACGACATACTAAAACAGTCAATTAACGTATCAAATGCAACAAAAACAGCATTAGAAGCAAAGGAACAAGAACATTTAGATTTAATTAAAAAGATTGAAGAAGCTTATCAAAATCAATCATCAAAGAAATACGAAGAAATCTTTAATCAAGTTATATATAATTACAGACCATTTTTCAACTCTTTAGACGATTTGCAAGAGGTTTACAATGAAAAATTAGATAAACAGTATCAAGCTATTGACGCTTTTGTTACCAACTTCGAGAAATTAGAATTTCAGAGGGCATCTCAGTTTGATTCCTTAATTAATAGCCTTATTAATACAGTTGAAGAGATAAAGAAGTCAAATGCAGATACTTTATCCGATTCTTTTGTTGCTATGATTGATATTGATGGTAAAAAAGATATCACTGGAAGTTTTACGTTAGATTCTGTTGAAGAGACCACAAAGATTCCAAAATTCATGCCAGAGCTCCCTGTCAACTTCGATATCCATAATTTCCTTGAAAGTGACAAAATTTTGATTACGATGCAATCTCATGAGTACGCGATAAGTAAAACAGAGATTAGACGTGATGGAAAGTTACTAGCATCACCAAATGAAAGAGTATCCATCTTCAAATACAATAATAAAGTATATTTAGTCGAAGATGCAAATAATCCACTGAAAAATGAACTAAATCCAGAAGATTTAATTTTCAAGCCTGAATATGAAAGATATCTTGCAAAAGTATTAGGATATGGTAAATTAGACCAGAGAAGAGTCATCGTTGTTTCATCTGGAGATGTCTGTGAGTGCATGGATGAATTTGGAACTGTAATGTTTATTCCCGAAACAAACCTTCTTAAATTGTAATACAATTAATTGTTTTTCTTTTGTTTATTATTATTTTATTAAAAAAATTAAAGTTTATATATTCTTTCAAGATCTTGCTTATTATGTAATCGAAAATTCATATTCGGTTATGTTTGTTTTCAGATATATTTGCTATTTCAAAGCAAATTAATATACTGATAATTTTATTTGTCACAGTTTACACAAGTATTCAATAAGAGATATGCTATTATTATCTAAGTTTAATGTTAGAAGCATACAAAAATTCAATAATAGCATATCCAAAAACATTCAAGTTTATAAATCTCTAAAACTTTATTAACTATATTCTTCAATCTTTCAGATACAATCTGGAAAAAGATTACTAAACTCAATTACAGTTACATAGTAGTCTTTTGCTTCAATGTAAATTATGATAATTGAAATTTTCTTCAAATATCAAAATTACGTTGAGGATGTAAAATAGATAGTTTGCTTTAATACTTACATATAAATAAAATGTATTATTCTACTCAGCATCAGGCTGTTTTGTTGTTAGCCATGAATTTTCGACGCATTCATGGACCATTCTATTATATTCTGCATTGTTATTAGTATACAATTGAGCTATTTCAGGATTTGCAGGTTCATTTGTATTTGGTTCTATAATTAGTAAATAAATTGATATTAGTATCGTATATATATTGTATGAAGGATCCCATTCATTAAAAAGAATATTATGACAAACATTTCCATTTGCGTCTACATTTGGATGAATAATTGGCGTTGTAAATCGAATTGATACAGGATGTGAATTAGGATAGTCTTGTGGAAGTTGTATATCAACTGAAAAAACTCCATCTTCCCAAGGAGTACTTTCGAAACCATAAAATAACGCATACCAATGTAAAACGTCATTTTCATTAGGTCTAGCATTAATGTTTTGAAGATTCATAGCTTTTAACATCCGATAATCGCTGATAGCTTTACGCGCAGCAGTCATAAAAAGTTTCTATATTAATTTGCCAAAAATATTCCGCGAGATCTAACAATTCGATTCAATTTTTGATAAAATACGGATGATTTATTAAAGCTGATAATTTAAGAACCCATTATTGGAGGCGAAATCATGCCATGAAAATAAAAATATATATTATCTAACCAATACATATTTCCAATTCATGGTTGTGAAGAAAAATTTGATTATATTGATAAGTAGTAGGATAGGAAGGGTTTTGTGACTTTTTTTGTTACGTCTATATATAGATGAAGGTATATTTTCACATCTTCTATATATAGATGATATAAAAATTTTTTCTTACGTTTTTTAAGTCATGAATTCGTAAGAAAGCGCGACATTATTAAATAAATTAGTAATAAATATTATATACTAAACTGTAATAAACAGAAATTCATCAAAAGTGACAGCTCTCAATTTTTTGACATTTGTAAATTCTAAATTGAATGAGAAAAATGAAATAATACTAAGCATAATACAATATTCTAGATTTAATTATAATTAGGAAAAAGTTAGTTTTGAGAGTACTTTTCATAGGCATATAGAATGAAATCTTCTGAAAAATAATATCACATAAACTCATATTATTTTCTAATATATAACTATTTTATATAAAAATCAAATTCAATGATCTTAAAAGCGAATGATAAACCTCAAAATTTACGAATATAATGAGTGGGAATATAATGCTTATCTATCATAAAACCATATGAAATATCAATTTTTGCTTTACGCCTAATTTTTGACGACAATTAGCAAAAAATGTTAAATGTTAACACTCAGTCCATTTGAATATGAAAAATAAAATTGACTTTGATTAAATGTTTTTATTTATCATGCAATTCTTCTTGCGACCAAAGATTTGAATAAAATTTCAAAAAATAAGATAGCTTAAAAATAATATACGGTAGTATTTACTAATAGATGAATAGTATATAAATTCTATTAAAATGGATTTGATCCAAAAAATATAAAACCAAAAATAATTGTTATAATTTAAATGAAGAAGTAATTTAAAACGATTTTATTTATGATCAAATTTTATATATTTTTTTGGATCAAATCCATTTTAATAGAATTTATACACTATTCATCTATTAGTAAACACTACCGTATATTATTTTTTAAGCTATCTTATTTTTTGAAATTTTATTCAAATCTTTGGTCGCAAGAAGAATTGCATGATAAATAAAAACATTTAATCAAAGTCAATTTTATTTTTCATATTCAAATGGACTGAGTGTTAACATTTAACATTTTTTGCTAATTGTCGTCAAAAATTAGGCGTAAAGCAAAAATTAATATTTCATATGGTTTTATGATAGATAAGCATTATATTCCCACTCATTATATTCGTAAATTTTGAGGTTTATCATTCGCTTTTAAGATCATTGAATTTGATTTTTATATAAAATAGTTATATATTAGAAAATAATATGAGTTTATGTGATATTATTTTTCAGAAGATTTTGTGTTCTTCTTCAAAATTTTATTTTTTTATTAAGAAGAATCTTTACAAAATATACATTTACTTTAATTAATATTTAAAAACGTGCTCTATCAAAAGTTCCAAAAATTCAATATTTTAGCTTTTCTGAGGTGTCACTTTTGATGAATTTCTGTTTACAACAAAACACATTTTAAAATATATTTATTTATAAATCATTAAAAATTAACATTAATTTTAAAATATATTTATTTATAAATCATTAAAAAATTAACATTAATTTTAAAATATATTTATTTATAAATCATTAAAAAAATTAATATTAATTAAAAAAATATATTTATATACTAAACCATTAAAAAAAATTAACATTAATTTTAAAATAATTTATTTTTTATCTTTTATAAAAGAAGCTATATATAGATGATGTCAGATATTCCGCGATTAATTAAACATTGTTTAAATCCTGAATGGGTTAAATATCAATTTAAAAATGAAGATTGTGAATTATTAAATGAATATGAAAGCCAAAATAAGCTAATGAGGTATAAATATAATGATAAAGAATATTTAATTTCATGGAATCAATGGAGTCATAATCAAAGACCTCATAAACGAGAAGAAGAAATTGAAAATAATGAAATGGAAATCATTGATGACATTAAAGAGGATGGAATTCCTAAATTTTGTAGAAAAACCTTTAGAACTAAGTTAGGAGCATATAAACGTAGAGTATTAAATCCTGAATATCTTAAACATCAATTTAAAAAGGAAGACTGCGAATTATTAAACGCTAATGAATATGAAAACGCTAAATCAAAACTGAGATATAAATATATTGGAAGTGATGAAAGGTGTAAAGATAAAGATAAAGTTTATTCAGTTTCATATAATAACTGGCACACGTTAGGGATAAGAAAACATTTAGGAGATTATGGGAAATGTTCTGAATTCTTTAAATCTAGTATATACGAGAGAGTAAAAGAAATTAGAAATAATTATTTTCATGAATAAAAGATTCACTACCATAATGAAATAAAAAATAAAAAATTTTTAAAAAATAAACTTTAAAAATTCATGTCTTACATTTTTGAATAATTTATTTTTTTAATTCGTAAGAAATGAACAGCTCAAAATTCGTGACTGTGAATCAATTAATGGATAAACTTTCACCAATTCTCACCCAGGTTAAACAAGTAGACGTTTATTTTGATGATTACATACAAAGTTTATTTTATAAAGGTAAGTTTAATATTAAACCTATTGCTTTTGCATTTGATGGTAAATTAATCGAAAATTCAAAAATTTGGGAATTAATTCCGGATATTGAATTTATAACAAATATTAAGGATAAATGGTTTAAACAACAAAACCACCTCACTAAAGTTCTTTGTAGATTAATGATTAAAACTGAGGAAAAAGAATTTAACGGGTTTAAATATCATCCATGTAAAATTTTAGAACTTGGTAACGAAAAACTTCAGAAAAAATTAAACGAAAGACTATCAAAAGATAAAGTTGAAAGAGTAAATAAACTCGCTAAAGGTAATGGTAATGGTAATGATGAAGAAGAATTTGATGAGTTCAACATAGAACTTTAAGAAACTAATGATTATTTGAATTTATGAAATCAATTATTTGATTCATTCTTTCTTCAATCTCTTCTATTCTTTTTGTTAAATCATCTATTTTCATTAATGAGGTAATTCTTGATTGAGGAATAGATTTCAAACTAACCACTCCTTTTATTTTTGAAATTTTGAATCCATCAACTTTAAACATTTTATTCAATTTACACGTTGTCAATTCTTCAAATAATTTTTTATTATTAGCATAATAGTCATTAAATTCTTCAACAGATGAAAAAATTTTTATTTCAGTAATTGGTTTAACAACGTTTATTTTTTGTTGAACATTTTCACTTTCATTTATTTCTTCCTCCTCTGTTTCATTTATTTTTAAAATCGGTTTCATTTATCATTAAATAAAAATTAGAATATAAGTGATGAAATATATTTTTTTAATTAATATTAAATCAGAAATGGCGGCAGGATTCTTTAAAAAATTATGGGATGGAATTAAGAAAGCTGCGGGTTGGGTTTATAAAAAGATTATTAAACCCGTTGCAAACTTTTTGGCACCAGTAGCGAAAACGGCAGGAACTATCATAGGTGGAGTATTAGGTACTAAAGCAGGTAATCCGGCGATGGGAGCACAAGCAGGTAACGCAGTTGGTGGAATAGCTGAAGGAATACTTAATAAAATAGGGGGTAGATAGTGGAAAAATAAATTATTTTAAAATTATTTTTATCTTAGTATCGGTTGTAGTCTTTGATAAACTTTTTCTCCTTTATTTAAAATTTCTCTTATTGGGGCAGCTTTTGGCGTTATTGATTCAGCAACGTCACTAATTGCTTCTTTATTCTTAAATATCCAATTTGCTCCCTTCTTCAATGTTTCCCAAACTTTACTCGCTCCTCTTTTTACTCTATCCCACAGTTTCTTAAATATACCCGCAGCCATAGTTGATTATTTCATTAAAATTAAAAATTCATTTCCATCTTTTAATTTTGATTTTTTTATTTATTAATAAATGACGACTAACTATTTAGTGCCAAACACCAAACAGATTAATGGAAATGTGTTTCATTCATTCGAAAAGATAAATGAAATATTCGCAAAGAATGATGGTAGAAGATATTATAGAGAACTTGAAAGTTCATGCTATGACTCTGATGCTCCATATTTTGATGATAAACAAACTCATTTAAGAATTACAAACCCAGCTCATGATGTGAACCAATTAGGTGACACATATATTAAACGCAAAGTTAAAGCAACTCTAGTTTCAAATAAAGCTTTCACATGTGATGCCGCTTTTAAATGCATGCGTTTATTCGTTGGTTACAAATCATCAAATCAAAGCTTTAAACAATTAGAAGTAGAAACCGAAAGAGGTGATGCTGGTTATCTTCAGATGGATTGCGCCCGTGAATCTTTCGCATTTGCAACATATAAACCAAAATCAGAAAGGAAAGTTAAAAAGTTTGTTCATTCGTTATATAATAATTTCAAAAATATGATAACTCAGTATGTGGTAAATATATTGACCCTTCAGAAGTTTTCAAGAAAGCAAATGAAGAAGTTGATGTCACTTTTGATATGATTATTCCGGTAAATGATTTGTTAGCATTTCAGGCGTTCGATGATTATCCTAAATCATTTGGTGATATCATTCTTAAATATTATGTTTTCAGGGATACTTTAGTATTTTGTCAGGTTGACCCGTTAAGAGTTGCTGATTTACAAAATTACGTTTATGAAAAGATAACTGATGAAAATTATGAAAAGATTATGAATCATGTTTATAAATATGATCGCAAATTCCAACAAATCGGACTTCCTGCCAAATTAATTACAAGCTTAGCCGCTACATCTGCTGACGCAACAGTTGATGACGTTATTATTTCATGCACAAAGATGGAAATTTTAGAGGATAAATGCATTACACCAGGATACGGTTTAATTGAAGAATCAG